TAATGTGGTGAAACCCGCCCCCACCCCCGGTCTCTGCTAATCTGTGCTGGGGGAAAATTCCTTCCCTGGCCCTAAATACAGAGACTGGCAAGGCCCTGAGTACGTGGGCGCAACCCGCTGGTCCGTCCCCTGGGGAATTCTCCGTCGTCACGCCGGGAGCGCCCTCCGATTGTAACCCTCCGTTCCCAGAACCAGAGAACCCCACCTGCCTTGTCTGGCCCAGCACCCTTGTGACTGACCAGTCCCGAGTGAGGTCCCCACTGCCGTCCTCCCAGCCCGCTGCCCTGCCCTGCAGTCAGCACGCCTGGCCCTGGGGATCCCCAGCTCAGGCAGCCCCCCCGCTACCGCTCCAGACGGGCTCCCCTCCGATTGTAACCCTCCGTTCCCAGAACCAGAGAACCCCACCTGCCTTGTCTGGCCCAGCACCCTTGTGACTGACCAGTCCCGAGTGAGGTCCCCACTGCCGTCCTCCCAGCCCGCTGCCCTGCCCTGCAGTCAGCACGCCTGGCCCTGGGGATCCCCAGCTCAGGCAGCCCCCCCGCTACCGCTCCAGACGGGCTCCCCAGCCGCTGCTGGCTGCGTGCCAGGGCTCTTTGCTCCAGCTACATCTGTGCCTCCAGCCCCTGCGGGTGCAGCCGTGCGGATGCTCACACCAGGGCACAGCTAGCCCAGTTAACCCAGCACTGCACACGGCCACCGATTCCCGGCCTGCAGGGCCACAGGGACCCTCGTGAGCATCTCGTGTGACCCTGCCCGGCACAGGCCAGAGACCTGCCCACGCTCGTCCCTAGAGCTGGACGAAAACAATCCCCTCCGGCTTCCCACACGGTCCATGGCGGAGAACCTGCCCCAGCCCCGGGGGTATGGCCCAGGGGCTAATTCCCCTCATGGTGAGAAACATTCACTTCATTCCCAGCTCGAGTCTGTCTGGCGACCACTCCCAGCTCCCGGGCGGGGTCAGACCCTCCCCGCTCCACCCAGAGGTCCCCGAGTAGAGATTTGCTCCGGGCGGGTGCTGGCAGACAGGTCCCCGGTCACCCCACTGGGCCAACCTGCATCGACGCAGCCCTGGAGTCTCTGGCTCCGAGGCAGGTTTCTAACCCTGCGACCAGCCTCCCGGCTCCACTGAGCCCCCAGCTGCACCACCTCCTGCTGGAACCGGGCCCCCTCCACCGAGCCCCCAGCTGCACCCCCTCTTGCTGGAACAGGGCCCTGGGACTGGGCCGGGCTCCCCACAGCCAAACGCTGAGGTGAAATCACCTCCCAGCTCCAGCGCAAGGCGCTGCGCCCAGCCCCTCCCTTGGTTCTCTCTGACGCAGGCGGGACCCCAGCCACGGGCTACATCAAAGGCTGCCTGCCCAACTACAACAGCGGCATCAAGGGGCCCCTCACGCTCACCGTGGGGCGCGGGCTGTACCTGCGGCTCAACACCTCGCGATGCAACGCCACGGAGAAGTGCAACACCGCTCTGCTGGCTGGTGAGTTCGCGTTGGGCTCCCAGGGCACCGGTTCAAGGGCTTGTTCACCTGCACAATGAGTCGGCGCTGAGCGGGGTGAGTCTGGCTCTCCGGGTGTCCCTGGATGATGCGACAACAGGTTGTGAGAGCCCCTTGAGAGGGGCCTGGCCCCAGCTCACACCCCGCTGGGGCATCATTGACAATCTACAGCCGGGCTGGTGAACAGCTCCCCTCACAGGCCTGGGGACAGGACAACCCCTGACCTGAAGCAAATCCTTTCCAGCAGCCACAGGTCACACCTCACACACACCCGCCCAGGGCCCCACCCCTGCAACACACCCCGGTGCTAACGCTGCCCACACATCTCCACCAGCGACACCACCATGGGCCCTAGCCCCCGTCAGCCACCACATCAGGGGCTCCTACACCTGCCCATGCCCCAATGTGCTCTAGGACATCCAGTGCCAGCCATGCCCCTCTGCCATGGACAGTGGCCAGACCGGCCAGTCTCTGGGCCAAAGGAGAACTGGACACAATCACAAATGGTCACACACAAACTCAGTCATGGATGTAAAAGCAGCCATTGTACAAAGCAATTTCACCCCCCAATTCCAGAGAAGGAGCCAGAACTGGAATTCATTTGCAAGCTTGACAGTGTTACCCTGGACTGGACACAATCACAAATGGTCACACACAAACCTGTGGGGGACCACTCAGTCATGGATGTAAAAGCATCCATTGTACAAAGCAATTTCACCCCCCAATTCCAGAGAAGGAGCCAGAACTGGAATTCATTTGCAAGCTCGACACTGTTACCCTGGGCTTGAGCAAAGGCATTCACTTTCCCCTGCCTCTACTATCCGTGTTTGCACATCCAAAGCTCTGAATGGGACAGATCCAAGCTCATTAGCATGGGGCCTACAATTGGTGGGTACTTCTTTTGCTGCTGTACAGATCTCGCTTTCTTTTCTTTCCACTCCAGTGCCTCTGAGGAAGTGGGCTGTGCCCACGAAACCTCACGAGCCTCGATACGTTTGGTAGTCTCTGACAGGCCCCAGGGCCACCCACTATCACTAAAGAACAGTTCACGTGTGTCAGACGGCTAGGCTGTGGCAGGCTGCAGAGGGTAGAGTCAGACCTGGGCAGCCTCCTTGGCCCTCCACCTCCCAGCATTGAACTGCTCACCTGGACAAACCTCTGCCCCAGCCCTGAGCCCCCCCCACGGCCCAAACACCTCAGCCCAGGCCTTGATCTGAGCCTTCAGCCCTACCCCCCTTCCCTCAAACCTCTTCCCCAGCCCTGAGCCCCAAAACCTGCATCCCCAGCCGCAGAACGTTTATGGAAATTTCCACTACAGGCATCTGATGAAGGGGGTCTTTGCTCCAACACTTCGGTTAGTCTCTAAGGTGCCACAGGACTTCTCGCCGCTTTTGCAGATTCGGACTAACACGGCGATCCAGGTTGGATATTAGGAAAAACTATTTCCCTAGGAGGGTGGGGAAGCGCTGGGCTGGGTTCCCTAGGGAAGTAGTGGAGTCTCCATCCCTAGGGGTGTTTAAGTCTCGACAAAGCCCTGGCTGGGTTGATTTAGTTGGGATTGGTCCTGCCTAGAGCAGGGGGCGGGACTTGACCTTCTAAGGTCTCTTCCCGTTCTATGACTGTTTGGCGCATTACAAGGCCCGGAGGTGCCTGGGCATATCAGACGGCGGGAGGGCATTTCTGACATCTCCCAAACACAGCAGGGCCCCAGCTCTGGGAGCCCGGGAATGCCCAGAAAAGCGGGAACCCATCAGAGGGAGCAGGGAACAGGGAGAGGCTCCGGATAACAGACGGATGGAGCGACGCCCTGGGGCTTGGGCAATACAGGGCAGTGGGGATGATGAGGATCAAACTCCACTCCGTGACCGTGTCTCTGGGTTCCCAGTGCCCCAGGAGAACAGCACCTTGAATGGGCTGCAGTGCCCGGCCTGCCTGGCTCGGAAGGCCAGGGCCTGCACCGGCCAAGCCATCCTCTGCACCGGGGAGGAGACCTACTGCATCGACTTCACTGGGGAGATCATTAAAGGTACGTTCTGCCCGCTGGCCGCAGGGCGGGGGCTGCCTGGGAAAGTCCTGCCCCTGGAGCTCCCCGAGAGCTGGTGGGAGCCAGAGTCTGTGCGGAGCCCTGGGCGGGTGGGGCCGCTGCTCTGGGGGCGATGGCAGCGGGGCACATACCAGGGGAGGGTTGTGATGTCAGGGATGCAGAGCTGGGGAGAGAACCCAGGAGTCCTGGCTCCCCTCCTCCCCCACTGCTCTAACCACTAGTCCCCTCCCCCTTGATGTCTAGGGTGGAGCTAAGCTGCTGTTGCCCCGTGAGGCAGCTCCTGTTCTCAGTGTGGCCCAGGGCTCCCGGCGCTCTGGGGAGGTTATAAAATAACTGAACCGAGCGGGGGACTGCCTGGGCAGGGAGAGCCAGTGTGTTCCCTGGGGGCATTCAGAAGGTCCTTCCTAATATTTTCAGGCTTCTTTAAAAAATCTCTTGATGGCCCAGGGCTCCCGGCGCTCTGGGGAGGTTATAAAATAACTGAACCAAGCGGGGGGCTGCCTGGGGCAGGGGGAGGCCGGG